GAAAGGCATGTGGTTCAAATCCACCAACTGCTCTGCGGGTGAAAGATGGCAGTCTCTTCCTGTGCAGTTTATTGCCTCTGAAAACCTGTTGGAGGGTCAGCTATGAGTTGGTTCCTTTCAACAACAATAACAGTTCTATAGGGGCTCTGTAAGCCTAGTGAGTTAGGAGTTTTGCTGCTGTCCCATAGACAGTTTGAATCCATCACCTGATTTGAGAGAGAAAGATGGACACTCTCCTCCTATGCAATTTATAGCCTCTTTTATGCAATTAAAACCCACTGGAGTGTCAACTGACACAAGGGAAATAAATTAGTTAGTTCTGCAGTGGTCATGGTGTGCGTAACGTATTGGGCATCTACTCCAAAGGTCAGTGGTTCATGTGCACCAGCTGCTCCTGAGAAAAAGGATGAGTATTCTCCTTTCATAATTATTTACAGCCTTGGAAACCCAGTAGTGGGTTACAATGAGGCATAATTGACTCATTGACAGTAGGTGTGATGTTTATAGTAGTGTAGTGGTTAAAACATTTGGCTGTTAACTGAAAGTTTGAGTCCACTAACTACTGTACACAGGAGAAGAATGGCCAGTCTCCTCCCATGCAGTTTATTACCTCTGAAAACCTGCTGCAAGATCCAGCTTTGAGTTGGATCCAACTTGATGGCACCCAACAACAACACAAGCACTCTATGGGAGTAAGATGCGGCATTTTCCTTACATGAAGAGCACAGCCTTGGGACTCCGTGGGGCAGTTTTACTCCTCTGGTAGGGTCACTGTGAGTCAGAATTGATGCAGGGGTAATGGATGTTGTGAGAGTTCATTCTTGGTTTTCAAGTATACTTATACCTTGAGATTCTCTTTAGTTTAAAAAAAATCAAACACATCATTGGGACTTCATTGCTGTGTGTGAGAAGATAACAGTATCAAGACAGAATTTTCCAAAATGCAGTTTAGGCGTCATTGTTCAGCCTTTAAAGCAAATTTTACAAACTGGTAGTCTTCAGACCAGAGGTCTGTTACATTAGGCTTGACAATGTTTCTGTAAAACTTGAATTATTTGACAGAATTTAATAAAAGTCTAATCTCATCTAAAAATCCAATTGCCAGTTTGTCTTGGAAAATGGAACTCTCCAAAGACACTGAGTTTACATCATTGTTCAACAGTAGTTAGCTGGTAGATGTGAGTTGTGGCTGCCTCTTGGGTAGGGAGTTGGTGGGTAAAATAACTGTCCCAGACACTTGAGAGTTGTCCTATTCTCCACCTCCCAGGCCTGTTCATATGGCTTGGTCTTTGTAGGCATTTGAATTGGAAAATTTGCCTTAAAGGGGGGATAATTTAGCAGATAGCAAAATATTATCTGATAATTGGAAAATTCATGGTTAATAAGAGAAGTGGCAGGAGACTTGATGCAGGTAAATATATTAGCTTTACAATAGAAAACAACAGTATTCTAGAAACCACTAAAGGAGTGATTTTGGGGGAAATTACGTATTTATTGTAAGCTCCTTTGGGAGCATGTAGGCAAGGAAATAGATGTTAAGAACTAAAGTGGGTACACTAAGCCTGAATCTGTTCCATTTTGTGGTGGAATTAGTAATCTGTAGATAGGGGTAGATCACTAATACAGTGGTTCTCTGTTACAAAAAGATACTTAGTGGATTTCATGTGTGTCCTTGTGAACAAGATAGGGAATTGTGTGCTAAATTCTTAAATGGATTTGTGCCAAGTTAAACAACAACAAAAAAGGAGTTGTGTAAAGAATCTCGGCAAAACTGACGAGTGATTTCTGGTGTCGCCGTAAGTGGGGAGGGAGGAGCAGTTTTATTACCGTGATTGTTTTTTCCTTCCACATATTTACCTGCCTATTCTAGATCCACCAGCTCTTTGCTCCACATCTTGGAATCCTGTTTTGTTGGGCACCATCAGGTTGGCTCCAACTTAGCGACCCTGTGTCCTACAGGATGAAACACTACCTAGTCCCATACCACTCTACAAACCATGCTGTGTGTCAGTCCGGACCTGCCCTCATTATATTTCACTATAAATTCCTGTGGTCCCCCTGATTATCTTGGCTCCTGACTCATGGTCACATCTCTTCTCCATCATTCAGCTGAGTCAAGCATATTATCTTTCAGAAAGAAGTTTACTAGGCAACATAGAAAAAAACAAAAATAGAAGAAGATGAGAACTTTTCTAAAGCATCTTCAACATCAAGGAAGATAATTTTCTCTTCTGAAAACAGAAAATGGACTTTTCAGATGGAGATGGCATAATACAGAGATGGCAAATGTGTTGGAAGCCAAATCCTGAGTGAAAAAAAAAAGTCAACAATTAGTGATGACTGGTTGAAAGCGGATTGGAGTTTGAAGGGTTGTCATGTGGGAGAGGTGATAGACCCTGGCCATCACAAGGAATGGTTTGTATTCTTTATGGTGGTCACTATATTTAAATAATACAAAGAGGAGCAAGGCAGTCTCTGCTCTCAAGACCCAAATTAGCATTAAACAGGGAGATGCACGGAGATAGACGTAAAATAGGGGTACCCTTGGATTCTCCAGGAAGCAGAAATGACTTCCTACTAACTAAAGCTTCCTTCTAATGTTACCCAACTCTTAGGATTAGATTTAAACAGGAATTGGAGCAGATGGCTCTTCTAGATGGCATCTGTTGGTTTATTAATTTGCTTCTCTAGAGAAAGTTGTTACCGTGTATGGTTTGCCATTGTGCTGGGCGAACCACACTGAGAAGGACGTTAAGTCTCAAGGCCACAGCATGCACAGTGCTTTGGTATGTTGTTCTTAATGATGCACGAGAGTCAGCAGACAGTGGGTCCTCTGTTTTCCGTATCCATTGACCTGCTAGAAGAATCTAGTGGTATGTTCAGCAGGTGATGTCTCATTGGTGAGTGTGTCTTTTGTTTGCTGGTCTTCCAGTCATGAAGATCATGTCATTCCTTTTAAGTTACATAGGACAGAAGCTCTTTAGTTGTGCAACCGTTACCATGACTTTAGAGTATTTTTGGCAATCTTCCCGTTTCTCTCCAGTTGCCCAGTCCATTGTTGTTAGGTGCTGATGGATTAATTCCAACTCATAGCGATGCTGTGGATAGCAGAATGAAACATTGCTTGGATCTGTGCCGTCTTCACAGTTGTTGCTATGTTTGAGCTCATTGTTGTAGTCACTGTCCAATCCATCTTGTTGAGGATCTTCCTCTCTTTTTCTGACCCTTTACTGACCAAGCACAATGTCTTTTCCCAGGGATTGTCTCTCCTTATAGTAAGGTCCAAAGTAAGCAAGGTTAGGTGAATACCATCCTCACTTCTGTAGGGAGCATTCCGGCTGCTCTGAAGAGGACAGATTTGTTGGTTGTTCTAATCGTCTCTGATATAGCCAATATTCTTTCCCACGACCATAATTCAAATACATAAATTCTTTGACTGCCCTCTTTCACATGCATCTGAGATGGCTGAAAATATGGTTCGGATCAGGTGCACTTTACTCATCAAAGTGTTGTCTTTGTTTCTTGAGCAGGTTTGCCCAGGGCAGTACATTGTTTAATTTCTAACCCACTACTTTCATATTCAGCCATTACTCTGTGTTCTGATTCTGTAGGTTTGCCTGTTTTACACATTTTCTTACGTAGTGGTAAGAAGCTGCTCTACAATCCCAAACACACATGGTTCGGATCCACCAGCTGCCGCAAGGGAGAAGGATGGGCATCCTCCTCCTGTGTGATTAACTGCCTCTGAAAACCCGCTAGAGGGTTAGCTGTGGGTTGGTTCTGACTCAACACCATACAACCACAATTACTGCCATGTACTAGTCATTGTACCATGTGCTGTGAGTCGCAGTTGACCCATGATAGCAACAATAACAACAGCAACTAGGTACTAGTACTTTGGGGTTTTTTTATGCTTGAGTAATAAGACATTATTCACAATGCCTTATTGTGCTTATCCAGTAATCAGTTAATGGGCCTTTGGATTGTCTTCATTTTGACTGTCAAGAATATTGCTGTTGTGAACTAATTGTGTGTGTATGCGTGTGTATGAAAGAGGGAGGGAGAGACTTTCTTTCTCCTGCATGTATTCCCAGGCATGGAAGTGCTGAGTCCCTTCTAACCTTTTGAGGACCTGCCAGGCTGTTTTCCACGGCAGCTGCACTGTTTCACAGATATCCTCCTTCGCAGCTCCCCTTGGTGATTCCAGACGGGAGTCTCATGCACCGCCAGCAGCGAGCATCCTCAGTCTGCCTCACTCGGCAGTGAAATAGCCACGGATCCGATTTCAGCCTTTTACCTGAAAGGGAGACTATTTTTAGAGCAGAATGTCTGACCCTTCCAGGCTGTCTTTGACAAGATCCTATATCCCTCTGCTCTCACTAGTAAAGCAGTCTTAGCTGGCCATCAGCCAAGGAACTCAGCAGTCTAACCCGGAGGACCAGCCCTTGTCCACCTATGGCCCTGGGTCTTCTATCAAGAGTTAAACCGATCTGGAAAGCTGGTTTGTGGGTTCAGCAAAGAGCATGGTTGTGGCTGTGTAACCCTGTACAACTGAGGCTGTGACATCTCTTCTTGTGTCTTTGCTTTCTTGGTGCTATCTGGTAAAAACTGAGTCATGAGGTGCTGACACAGACACAGCACACTTAATGAGAAACTTGAGGCATTCTGCTCATTCCTGAGATAGGTTCGCAGCTGTCAGCCCTGCGTTCAGATGGTAAACAACTTGCTGCGGATGAACTCCTGCCCCTGCTTGCTTGAGTGGGGCATAGGTTCTGATGGTGCTTTTTGGTGAGGCTGAGGATAAGGGAGGGTTGCCTCGTGGTTCAATCCCAGGATTGAGCGGCCTGTTTTCCACACACCCGTTTCTGAAGTATTCCTGTGGAGGGAGGCAAAACTCAAGGATTTTTGTCCTTGAGCTTTTGCAAAACATTCTCTCAAATTGCAGATGCATTATTTCTGAGCCGCCCCTGAGCCTTGTTTTCTCTTCCTTGTGTTTGCAGCCATGGCACGGGGTACGAGAGTGATAACCACACCACTCCCATCCTTTGTGGTGCCCAGTACAGAATACATACCCACGGCGTCTTCAGGGGCATCCAGGTGAGTCTACTGCCCCTTCTCTTCCCCACCAGCTTTCCGTTTGTTATTAATAGACCGTTTGGCACAGGCAAACCTATTCATAATTATAGACAGTGGTAACAGTAGGGACCCCTTCTCTTCCACTCACATAAGGCAACTTCTTTCCCTTCCCTTGGCCAATGGCTTTCACCTCAGCCTCCCTGACTCAGACCAGGATGCTTCCTGCAGAATCCCCTCCCTCCTGCCTCCTTCTAAGTTTGATTTACCTGCTCACAGGTGCCCTGTACCCTGTACAGTTCTTATATTTGGAATAATTGGGCTTGACTTTGAGTCCTGGACCTTTGACTTCCAAGAATAATAATAAACTGCTTTGTAGAATGCCTGCAGGTAGATGCTAATTACCATTCATTGATAGTGATTATAGTAATAGTATAATCTCTAGCTGAGCACATTATAAATTCCAGAAATTGTGCAGCAATAAGTGAATGAAAATCCGAATTTTCTGTAAAGTTTTGTTAAAATCACAATTTAAAAAATTTTAAAAAGACTTTTAAAAAGCTCAGTCCTCATTACACCCTTAAAAGATAGGTATTATTACTCTCTCCATTAAAGGGACTGACCAGAGAAGAGGGGTAATTTTGTCCAAAGTTACACAGCTAGCAAGTGGATCCTCCCTCCAGGAGGTCAATTTGACTCTAGAATCCTGTTCTGAGCTAATATGCTTCATTGCTTCTTGGGGAGATGTGGACCTGTGAACATTATTTGGGGAGGTCTGTAGGGAGAGTGTAGAAAGGTACCATTTTCACAGAATTTAGGAAACTTGGCAAAAGGCCACCTTTGCAGAGCTTCTTGTGGGCAGTCGGAACTGTGTGTAGTTACCAGGGGCTTTTGCATCTGGGATTCACGTGTCTGTCTCAGTCCTGCAGCGTGAGAATTGACGGCAATGCTCTCATAGGGATAGCCAGTACCCTAGAATAAGTTGTGCGTGGGCCAGACCCCATGTGGTATGTGGGCCAAGTAGCTCTAAGATGTTCTGATGAATGTTTCCAGTAGTGTGCTATGGTGTTAGAACAGCGTGCTCCCTCGTCCCAGGCTTCCCCGTGGTGAGAAACAGACAGGGGTTATGCAAATACAGAAATCTGACAGAGGTTCAGAACAAGTCTCACCCCCAAATACCAGCAAGCTCCTCCACGAGGCCCTGACTGACATTAACAACCCGATTTTACATCCTCTTGCCGTGTGTGCTGCTTTTAGGGTGAATTAGAGAGAGAGAGAAAAAAAAGGATTTCTTTGCCTCCTTGTCCACAAAGCCTAATATGTTAGACTGACCGTCACAACCTCTGGTGATTCACATTGGACAGGTGTCACTTCACTATCATCTGTTTTCTCCCCCCAGAGTATGCCAAATCAAACACAGTTAGCACACTGTTTTATTTTATGCTGTCATTTGTCCAGAGACACCATGGCCTGTCAATAGCAAAGTGAGGTTGTATGTTCTCCACAGCACTAAAGTGAATTTATAAAGAATGTAAATATAAATATAAATGTAAATATAAAAGAATGTAACCTTGATACATAAAGGGATAGGGGGGACTCCACTGCTGTAAGCTCAGTTCTAATTTATATTCTAATTAATAGCAGCTGTGTGGAACAGAGGAAACTCTAGTGGCCTCGTGGATAAGGACTTATGCTGCCCACCCAGAGGCAGGCAGTTTGAAATCACCAGCTGCTCCACAGGAGAAAAGATGAACAGCCCCTTCCCATGTGGATTACAGCCTCTGAGAACCCATTGGAGGGTTAGGAATCAGATGTGACTCAGCAGTAATGAGAGCTGTGAGCATGGGACACATTGAAGAAAGCAGACTGAGTCATCCTTCTCCCTTAAAGGGGCTGATGGCTTAAAACTGGTGACATTTTTTAGTAGCAGACGGTGCTTAATACACTGTGCTGCCAGGGCTGCTTTCATGGTGTGAAGCAGTAGAAAATAACAGTTAGAACACAGGATGGAGTAGAACATACACGGGGATGGCCATCAGATACATTGAGACATGGTTCCGGCTCTGAACACTGGGATCTGCTCTTGTGTCAGTTTCTCTTTTAGAGCCGACCGAGTTGTACATCTGTAAAGGAATAGGTAGAGTGTAGTAGCCCCTGAGGCACTTCCTCCTGAGAGCTGGAGGGGATCTCACATCTGGTTTTCCTCTAAGTTCTTTCCACAGAAGACTGCACACTCAGAGCCCTCTTCCCGGATGAAAGAGTACCAAGAAAACGTCTTAAAAAGGATATGTTAAGTGCGTGAAAAGCAAATAGATTCTACAGCTTTCTCCAGTGTCCATATTAAAAGGATTGTAGAAACTACGACATGGACCACTGCCCCCCCCCAATTCATTCATTGTTGCATATTTTTCTCCCTCCCCCTCCCACAGTCCACTTTGCAGTGCACCTCTTTTTCAGATTATTGTCCTACATAAAATGCCTAATCATACATTCCTTTTAAACAGTTCTCTCCCTAGTCTGTTCCAATGCAGTGTTTATTATCTTCTTTAGCTTTCCTTTATGACACAGAAATCCTGTGGACTCCTTTATTTACACATGGAAGGTCAGGTCAATTTGGACACTGTTTCAGCATCCTTATATTTTTCCTTGTAATAAAAGTGCCCTCATCCACTGCACATTGGACCCAAGATGATGTGGTCACGTCTCCATGTTATTGTTATTATGTGGCATCAAGTCAGAACTGACACATAGTAGACCTTCCAGTAGGTTTTCGGAGGCTGTAAATAGCAAAGGGGGAGATTGATTGTCCATTTCTCTCCCTCAGAGCATCTGGTGGATTCGAACCACCTGCCTTTGGGTTGGCAGCATAACTTCTTACCTTCTAGGCTACCTGAGCTCCCTTGTCTACAAGTAAGAAGTGATGAATTACCTCAAAGTTGGATCCTCCAGACCTTACAGGATCAGGTAGAGAAGCCAAGAGACAGGAAGACTTGGGAGCAATTCATCCAGGCTCTACCATTTGTTGTCCAGATGATCTGGGTCTCTCATCCTAAATAACTTTCATTTCATGCACCAGTGTTGGTGGATCAGTAGTGATGATGTCAGAGCACTGCACTGTAGAATTTGCTAATCTGTCATATATTAGTAATGTCTGTGGTGAGCATCTGGGCTCTGTAAGGGGGATCGTTTTAGCCCATGTGCCTATTGTCCCTTAAGTATATTCCAATACTCGCTTTCCATCAGGACCAGTGAGAGTCTTCTCCTCATGTTCATATACAGCTTAAAGCCCCTGTTCCTTTCTGCTTACAGGATGTGCGACGTGTACCTGGAGTAGCTCCCACTCTTGTCCGGTCAGCATCTGAGACCAGTGAGAAGCGTCCCTTCATGTGTGCTTATCCAGGCTGCAACAAGAGATACTTTAAGCTGTCCCACTTACAGATGCACAGCCGGAAGCATACCGGTAAGTATGTCCGCCTTCTAGCTTGGCCTGTGGTGACCACTGGGCAGTGGTGGCTCAGGTGCTCCTGCTTAAGGTTCTCATAGTGTTAAGGCCACAGATGCTGGTGACAGGTCATGTCAAGGATGAAAAAGGACACCACTTTGCAAGATTCGGTCAAGCCTGCATGGAATTTCATGGTCCAGTTGCCTATTACCTTTCATAGAAAAGTCAGTAATCTTTGTTCAGGCAGAGGCAGGGGAGTTTGGTGAGGAAAGGAAGGTCTGTAGAATGAAAGAGACTTGAGTTTGAATCCTGGTTTCCCAGGAAGAGTGGTGAGCACTTAATATACATTGCTTACCTCTTAAGCTTCATTTAATGTGTGAGGAGAATGGAGATGACAGTGAAGCAAAACCGGATGAAAGAAATTGTAGATATAATGTTGTTGCTGTTGTTAGGTGCTGTCCAGTCAACAGCTCAAAATGTGACCCCATGAGCAACAGATCTGAACCTCGTCCTGTCCTGCACCATCCTCATTACCTCTGAAATGTGTGAACCCACTGTTACAGTGACTGTCAGTTTACCTTATTGAGGGTCTTCCTCACTTTCTTTGGCCCTTCACCTTCCCTTGCATGATGTCTTTTTTTTAAGGACTGGTGCCTCTCAACGACATGTTCAGAGTATGTGAGATGACATTTCACCATCTCTGCCTCTAAGGAGCACCCTTGTTCTCCTTCCTCCAAGACAGACTTGCTTGTTCTTTTCACAATCCATATGATACTCAGCACTCTTCTCCAACTCCACAATTGAAAGGCATCAATTCTTCTTTTATTGATAAATGCTGGCGTACCAGTTAAAACCAGTTATCATCAAGTTGATTACAATTTATGGTGACCCTTTGTGTATTAGAGAACTGCATTTCATAGAGTTTTCAGACTTTTCTGAGGTGACACTTACCAGCCGAGCCCATTAACTGCCAGCACTGCCTGGAGACTCTCTTTGTGTCATAGGTCTGGGTAAGGAAGAGTCACACAATTGCAATCCTATTACTATCTCTCGAGTCTAACTCAGAAGAGAGAGGACACAGGCTGGAAGTGTCTTATCAAGACATTTTAAAAGGCTGATGTTATCATAAGATTTGTTGTTGTTGTTATGTGCTGTCAAGTCACTTGCGACTCATAATGACCCTATGTACAACAGCCCTAAACCCTGCTCTGTCCTGTGCCAATCACATTGTCTCTGACACACCCATCCCAATTACCCCAGTCACTGAATCAATCCACCTCATAGAGGGTCTTCCCCTCCTGCGCTGTCCCTGCAACCTCCCAAGCATGATGACCCTCTCTAAGGACTGCTCCCTCCTTGAAACATGCCCAGAGTATGTCCGATGAAGCTTCAGAATCCTTGCCTCCAAGGAGCCTCCCTCTCTAGGATGAACCTATTTGTTTTCTTAGCAGTCCATGGTACATTCAGTTCTCTTCTCCAGCACCACAGCTCAAAGGCATCCATTCTCCTTCTATCCTCCCTAGTCATTGTCCAACTCTCTGATGC